TTGGGTATATTTTCTCAAACAAGAATCTGATACCTTAGGGGAGCATTCAAGCATTTTAGGAGCCTCATAGAAACTCAGTTTGATGGGAGAATAAATTTTTTTCAAAGTGATGTGAGGGGGAGAGTTTCAAGCACTGAGCTTTTTACTTTCTGAGGGTGGTATAGTACATAGAAAATCATGCCCTTACACCCCTAAGCAAAATGGGCTTGCAGAGAGGAAGCACAGGCATCTAGTTGAAGTAGGACGTTCATTATTAGCTCAATCCAATCTGCCTTCTATGCACTGGGATGATGCATTTCTCACAGCCTCATACTTGATAAATAGAACTCCATCCAAAGTTCTGAATTTCAAAACTCTCATTGAACTTCTCACAAACCAAAAGCCAAATTATAAAGAACTCAAAACCTTTGGTTGCTTGTGCTATCCATTACTAAGACTTTACAACAAAAACAAGTTGCAGTTTAGAAGTGAGGTGTGCACCTTCATTGGTTACAGTCTTGGGTATAAGGGATATAAGGTGATGTTGCCAAGAAGAAAAGTGGTCATTACTAGGGATGTTATTTTTTATGAGAAAAGGTTCCCTTACCAGAAACATTTCACATCAACCCTCATTAACAATGAGATACCTCAAGACCATACACCCAACATTGAAGTCAACATACCAAAACCTATAATACCAACAGAAACTCCCCACAAAACAATCATTCATCTAAAAATGAAACTCATGACAGAGCTACATACTTTTCTCCTAATAATATCACTTCATCTCATTCTACCAATACATCTTCACCTCAGTCTTAATCTAGAGGGCAACTGATTGTTGACCATGTGTTTGAGCATGTTGAGGATGCAATTATGCAGAACGAAGAACAAGTAACTAACACACACAGTATGAGAACCATGTCAAAGTCTGAGATAGTTAAACTAAAGGTTTGGGCAGCAGCAATCTCAAAGGATGATAATGAAGAGCCAAACAATTATGTGGATGCATTAAACAATCCAAATTGGTGCCAGACCATAGAGAATGAATACAAGGCTTTGATCTAAAACAATACATGGACCTTGTGTCCACAGCTAAAGGATAAGAATGTGATCAAGTGCAAGTGGATGTTCAAATTAAAAAGAGATGTTGAAGGAAATATAAAGAGGCATAAGGCAAGGCTGGTAGCAAAAGGGTACACATAAGTACCTGAGTTTGATTTCGACGAGACATTTAGCCCAATAGCAGAGCCAGTACCCATCAGAGTAGTGTTAACCATTGCCTTGTCAAATTCTTGGATGATCAAACAGCTGGATGTTGATAATGCAATTCTCAATGGGGATTTGGAGACAGATCTGTACATGACTCAGCCTCCAGGATTTCGACGAGACATTTAGCCCAGTAATGAACACTTGGTTTGTTAATTGTCTAAGTCCATCTATGGCTTAAGGCAAGCTTCAAGAAATTGGTTTGAGAAGTTTGGAAATGTGATTAGCCTGATTGGCCTTAGAGCTTCCAAAGCTACCCTTCATTATTTTTCAGACACATTTCAAAGAGAAGTGTTCTTGTCCTTGTTTATGTGGATGATATAATCATCACTAGAAGTGATACTGCTGGAATAAAAGAGACCGATGAGCATCTTCACAGAGCATTCTCACTAAAAGAACTTGGTAGAATAAACCATTTTCTTGGGATTGAGATCTCACAGTCTAAAGATGGTTTGTTTCTTAGTCAAGGAAAATACATTGAGCAAATCTTTGTAAGAGCAGGAATGGGAAAGCCTAAAAGAATGAGTACACCTATGAACACTAGCCCATTGCTTACCAGAAATGAAGGTGAACTTATAGAAGGCCTAAAGTTGTATAGATGCATCATTGGAGCACTTCAATATGCTACAATCAGCAGGCCAAAAATCAGCTTTAGTGTTAACAAGGTTTTACAATATATGCAATCTCCTCATGTTCCTCATTGGAAAGCAGTTAAACGGATTTTAAGGTACTTGAGTGGAACTTTAGACTATAGATTGCTTCTCAAGGGTTCAATTAGACCACAGTTGACAGCCTTTTGTGATGCTGATTGGGCAAGTGATCTAGATGAAAGAAGACCTACATCAAGTCCATGTGTCTTTCTTGAAGAGAGTTTAATATCTTGGAGCTCTAAGAAACAACAAACCGTGTCAAGGTCTAGTCCTGAACCTAAATACAGATCATTGTCTCATGTCACTTGTGAAGTATTGTGGATTCAGTCCTTACTTGATGAACTGTTGATACCTCAGTCTTACCTTACAGTGATCTGGGTAGACAATTAAAGTGCAATCTCCTTAGCCAACAATCCTGTCTTTCATTCTAGAACAAAGCATCTTGAAGTTAATCTTCATTTTATCTGAGATAAGGTTAAAAACAAGAAGATTAGAGTTCAACATGTACCTAGCATAGATCAAACTGCTGATATTTTGACTAAGCCACTATCAGGGTAGCTCTTCACTCGGCTTAGAAATAAGCTTTGTGTTGTTTCTAAGGCTGTGCTTGATCTGTGGGGGCGTGAAAAGAATCAGCATTCACCACATCATCAACTCGTGTGTGCATGACGTCAGCTAATGTGTTGCATGCATGAATCACCATGCTTCATCTGTGGTTTATACGTGTATGGAGGAGATTGATTCAGTTTTGTTTTACCTCATTATTCACTAGCATAGGTGAATTCTATATTGATCTTTTGTCTTGTATATAAAGACAACTAGCTAGGATTTATTGATGTAACCTTGAGCTGTCCCTTTCTTATTGCATTGAATACATTCGAATTTTAGCTTGAAATGGCATAACAACTTTTGGCCTTGTTTCTAGCTTGCATTGATGATTTCCTTTATATTTTATTAGTTTTTTCACACAACTTAACAAAATATAATCATTGTGGTGGAGAAGATAAAATGTCTAAAATATATGTAGGTAAGAATATCTAAAATATAATCATTGTTGTGATATATGAACATATATTTGGTAGGTATATAAATATAAGAGCAAAATTAAACTTATGTTCATGAATCTCTTGTTTATTACATCTTGGCTGTAGTGAAGTGAAAAGGGTTAATATATTACATATTAAGAGAAATCATTCATTTTTACACATCTCACTTTTAAGTATGAATCTCAATTTTTACACATCTCATTCATTTTTAAGTATGAATCTCAATTCATACTTAAAATTTAACTCAACTTTAACTCAATCTCACTTTCATCATATATTTAAATAATAGAAATCATTCATTTTTACAATCACGTTAAATTTAATTCACTATTCATTCACTCACATAATTTTAATTAATCATCACTTCACATCGTCTCTCTCTTACTTTTACATCAAATCAATTTTAATTATTTGACTTTAAATAATATTTTAAAATAAACTCAAAATATCACTAACTAATAATAACACTTTTTTTTCAAATTAAACCTAATTAACTGAAAAAGTTGTTTTGAGCAGATACATTTATATGCTTTCTCTCTCTTGAGAAAAACCTAATCCCCAAATCCATCCGCTGCTCTTTTCAATCTTCTCGTCGACCGGCCTTTCCCAGTGACAGCTATACTCGGCCAATGGTCGTCTGCAACTGCTCTCTCCACTTCTGACTTGTGCTCTTCCGATGTCGCTGTGGATAGTCGGAGATGGGTGGTCGGCCCAATGTTTCAGACGGTTGCTTGATCGGTGGTGCGGCTCTTGGTCGGAGGTTGGCTTGCGATTCGGTCGCCGGCAGGTCCTCGGTTGGAAGTCGTTGCCTCCACGATCTACCTTTTTTTTGCGAACTGAGGGACCCTCTCGTATGGCATCGCCTTTCCAGGTAGAGCTTCGGGTGGAGTTCAACCTTCAGTTGCCGGCGGTTTGCGGTGGTACGGTGAGTGTGTGGGTCTGCTGTGGGGTGGGACTTTGGCAGCAGCGGGGTGGGGCGGGGCCGTGGTCGGGTCCTTCACCGGGGTTGCTGGAGTTTGCGAGAATGCGCCTATCCTTCCCTCCCCTGTCGGCTAGTGATGTTAGGCGGTTGGGGACCTGTTTCTCCCGAGCTCGACTAGTGGTGTTAGACGGGTTCCGAGGGGCCGGTGTGGGGGCGGTTCGTTCTCCTCTCAGTTGGTGACGGGTCGATTCGAGAATTGGTTCGGGCTCGGAGTTGGCTATTGTATAGGCGGTTGAGTTTCGGTAGTGTTTCTTCAGGCTTGGGGCCTTTCTTATGTCGATTGTTCGCTGTTGGTTGGGTCGGTTCGATTGCTGGGGAAGGGCTTTGAGTGTTTTTGTTTTGTCGTTCTTGTTTTGTGTTGTTAGTGTTGTTTTGTGTTAGTTCATGTGTTTTAGGTTTGGGCCGTTGGCCTCTGTGCTCCCGAGTGTCATTTTCATTACTCTGTGGGGGTCCGACACTCGGGAATTGCCCTGTGGGGGTCTTGTGTTGTTGTTTGTTTGTTGTTTTGTGTGTTTTTTTGTGTTCTAGAGTATTACTCCGTTGGGATCGGTTCTAGGCGGTCTTTTGACCTGTCCTCCCACTTTTTCAGCTATTGGCTGTTTGTAATCAGTCGGTGGCTGCTTTATGCACATTTGTGCGTTATATATAATATCTCTATCGTTTTGTNATACATTTATATACAAGCATGTCCTAAGCCTTGTCCAATTTCGTTACTTATCATACCAATATTTGACTCACAAAAAATTAATCATAACACCAAGCATGAGTTACTGCGTAATATCTTTTCTTTTACCACTTTATACTCCTTTCTATTTATAACCATGCTATAGTACTCTTCTAATAAATAATAAATATTTTTATATTCAAGTGTCATCTTGTAACGTTCAAGCAACTTGCCACCAACATTTGTTACTCGATAAGATTAAAACATAAAAAAAATCAATTGTAATTTGTAAACATGGACATCACTTTTATTGGGGGTGCTCTATAAATAGAGAAGTTCATGAAGCTATACTTCCCATCCCAAAACACTAATTCAAAAAATCTTAGTGAAGGCAATATACTACCTCAAAAATGAAGGCAACTAATTTTCTTATACTCTTTTCCACTATTTCTTCCCTTTCTTTCTTAAGCGCGCACGATTTGATATCTCTCGTTTGCCTAGACCCATATCATTTGGCCCCGAATTGCAACGAGACCTTGGCTTCGCTCGCCTGTACTAAGGCTTGCGGAGCCAATCTAACCGACACCACCGAAACCAAAAAGTGTGTGGGCCATTTCGTTAACATGTTGGCCATAAATGCCACCGAGGCCGCCTGGAACGTGTCCATATCGCTCACCAAGGCCATGAAGGCTCCCTTGCCGCCGGCCCAATTGTGCATGCGCCAGTGCAAATCCGCGGTGAGCCTACTCACGGATAGCGAGAGACTTTGGAACATGACCACCAAGTTTGATATGAGGACCATCAACATTATGGGCTCGGCTGCCCAGACGAATTTTGACACTTGTAGGGACGGTTATGGGAATTTGGGCCTGCCCAAGGTTTTGGAGACCAAACTCAGCCCAGCATGGCAGCTCATCAATATCATGCTCGTCATATCCAACATGATTTATTAACTATATACAGAGCCTGTCCTAATAAATTGTAGGCCCTGAACCAAATGAATAAATAGTGGCCAGTTGTTTTAAACAAGGTTTTAAACTCTTTTTCACTTTAACCATATTTTTAATTTTATTGTAATCTCGAATAATTAATTCTTTTATTGCCAAAATACTAAATAATATTATTTTTAAAAAATATATATAACAAGCAATAAACAACAAATTGAAACTTGCATTTAAAATGGATAATTCGATGTCCCATAATGATTATCACTTATATGATTGAGTTACGTGCACACAAGTAACATTTTGCATATTCAAATAAGAATTTAAAAAAAATCTTTGTTGATCGAATGAAAAAATGAGAGAAAAAAATATGTATAAAAAATATTAATTTAATTATCAATTATTATAAACTAATTTCATCATTAGAACTTCACATATAAAAAGAAACTATATTTTAAATTAATATAAAATATTAATTTAATTCTTGTATTTTTGATAGTTTGTGCCCTTTAGAATTTTGGGCCCTGGGCAGTCGTCCCGCTGGCCTTGCCCAAGGACCGACTCTGACTATATATATTTAACTACTCTATGACCAACTTACTTTCTATGCTTGTTAATTGCATTTTCTATTTCCAAAAATATATAAAATATGTATTAGGAAAATTGAAAAAGAAAAGAAAGAAAAAGAATTTTGTACTTCCATCTGTGTATGCGAAGTGATATCATGTGCTTCGTGCCGGTGGCCGTGCATGAAATTTTTTTGGGCCGTGAGCCCATTATCTAATTAGTGATAATAGTCCCTTATTCATCTTATGGACCTAATAATTATTGATCCAAAAAAACTAAAAAATAAAACAATTAATGTAGAAGTAATCAAAATTAACTAAAACTAAGCGTGACCACGTGCAACCATATACATATATCATAATCTAACAATACTCATATATATTGCATAAATCAAAACAATTTTGGAGTGTCTTAACCGCGTAATGTTTGTGAGGTGATTCGTTAGGCTTTATTTTCTTTCTTTGTACAAAAAAAAAATAATAACTATTTTTACTTTTTTATAAACAAAAATTTTAATTTATCTAATAGTTCTAGTTGGAAAATAACAAGATTATTGCCATTGTGCGGCGACAATTTTTTATTTAATAAATTGACAAATAGATACAAATAAAAGTAATGTGTTAATCACACAATTCAATCAACTAATATATTTGTGTAAAACTAGAAGGATTGCCCAAAAGAAATATCTCAAAAAGGTAAAATAAAAGTTAACAACGTCAATTATGAGGTGAGATGACCGTAGTTTGCAATTGCATGCTTGGTATGATTCCGTTTAGACATTTTTCTTCTTGAAAAGCAATAGACACGGGAAACGATAGAAACAAAACTACTCTACTCGTTACATTGAGCAGAGAATAGAAAAACAAATAAATAATTATGAAACAAATAAACAGCGATATTTGGAAAGTAGTCTCAGTTGTTCAATATTAATCCGCATATTTTAAACAAAATTGAGATCTTTTTCATCAAAATTTGTGTCCTGTCCCAAATTACATATAAAAATAGTCAAATCGAAAATAATTTTCATCGAAATTCTACATGTGAAGTCAGAAACGACAAATGTGCCGTTTCTAAATCAATTTTAAATATTACGAGACTACGTACTATTTTCAATTTCATATAAATGAAAATATCTTCAATATATAGTTCCATTTTCTTTAAAATAAATAAATAAAAAAAATTCTTCCAAATGTCTCACTAAACAATATGACCATCACTCCTCACCATTACAATTTATCTATAAAAACTCCAATTCAAGAAGAGTTAAATCCACCGCTCTTTACCATTCATGCTCACTCATTTGCCACGCGTCCTCAATCTCCACTATCTGCTCCTCCACCACAGTCAATCAAACCCTATGCACCCAAACCCTCACCAGCACCCAAAACTGCACCGATGACTTGCGGTGCATGGCCCGATTCGTAATCGGCCGGGCCAAAGACGCCGCATTAAACGTCCGAAATATGGCCCAACACCTTATGTCGGGCCAGAATAAAACTGGGCCCAGTGATTCGGGAACGTACGGCCCACTCAACGACTGCGCCACCTACTGCAACACGACCCTTTACTATCTCGACAGCTGCTATGTTCCGTTGAAACAGACGGGCTCGTTGGCCCAAACCAATCTCGAGAGTTGGGCCTGGTTTGCCGAGTCATACCTCAACAGTTGCGACCAGGATTTCGGCTCATCAGCCGAGCCGCAAGAGCTGGCGGCGGCAAGCAGCACGGCGAAATTCTGTTGGCGGTTGCCGGAGGAATCAAATTTTAGAGAGAGAGATGTAATGTAAGACCTCTGAGTCGATCGTGGAATAAAAAAATAATATATATCTAATTATGGAATAAAGTATTAGTTTATCTGAATTAAACCTTTGTGTATGGACCATGGATTAAAAGTTTGGTTATGAAAGTTATTTATTGGGTCCCTTTCTTTTTCTGTGTGTTTATTTTGGGTTTTTTGTAATAACAAAGCGCCTAGTGATAATCCATGGTGTGAGTTGAGTTAATAATAATATACCCCCAAAGGGAAACTACAACACAACACAACACAAGGCCACAATGGAAAACCAAATAATAAAATGGAAATCAAAACAAATTTACGGGCACAATCAAACACAAAACCAAGTCACTCAGATTATAAATTCTCATATCCAAAAACTTCCATTCAGAATTAATTCGAAAAGCAGATACGAAGAGAAAGGCATAATAGTTTAATAGTTCACCTTAATTTCAAGTTAAAAGGCCCCTTCACTCTTGACTTATATAGTGGGGCTCATTTTTTCTAGTCCTGATTAGTATCACGTAACCCTACTTATTGGGCCTTGCTAGATGAAACAACAGTTATTACTTGAAACAAGTATTTATCCTCAAAAAATAAAAAATTTATATATTATATGTATATATATATATAATATTTTAATTTTTACATTTTTAAATTTTGACTATATGCAAATGTATAATGTAAATATAAATTATTTAACTTACGTATGAATCTTTATAATGCTGCCATAAATTTTAATGAACAATATAATTTTGTAATTTAGAGGGACCATACAATTAATTAATTAAAAAAGTATTATAATTATTTTTATTATTGTTATAGCAATTGTTTATGTGATTTTAAGTCGTTTAATTATGACATTCATGCCAATTAACTAATATTATATAAAAATCGCTTAAAAAGACAAAAAAATATTTTAAAGAAAAAAATTGTAATATGTGGGTACCATCCGGTAATGTGGTTTGAATTTTTCTTTGACAATTTGCGCAAAAGAAAAAAAAAATGGAATATGTGGGTACCATCCGGTAATGTGGTTTGAATTTTTCCCCCATTGGTCTGTTTCCAATTCCAGGAAGCAGTTGTCCTTTCTAGTGAACGGTTGTACCTTCACCGGACTTGAAATTGGCTAACGTCAATATCTCCGGTGGAATTCAAGGTACTCTTTACAATCTTCATGCATATACGAAATTGTATAAAAAAAAATATTTTTCTTTTTACTTCTTTTCTGGCATCTTCATCGCACATGGATGATAATTTATCGTCTTATGCCCATTTTTTCGATTTCGATCAGTTTAATGGCCCATTGTGTCTCATGATTTGTGGCTGTCAATTTTTTAGTTAGTAGCTTGCATTTGTCGCGAGATGAATTTTCTGGAGATAACCTGCATATAGCTGTTCGATAAAATGCCCAACTGATTTGTGGTGGCAGAGGGCTTTGTGGAGTGGGAATGTTGAGAAAATCCGTTTGAATGTTGAGTTTAGAGCATGATTGGATATAAATTTGTTTTTGTTTTGATTGGATTTTTGATTTGGGTTGGTTAAATTTGAAAAAGTAGGTATGGTTAGTTGTTAGTGGATATAACAAAATAATATTTAAAATAAAATGATTAGAATTAAATTGATGTAAAAGTAAGAGAGAGAAGATATGATGTGATAGTTAGTTAAATTTATGTGAGTAGATGAATAGTGAATTAAGGTTGATGTTGTGTGTAAGAATGATTGATTGATATTATTTAATTATATTGATAATATTAATGATAGTGGGTTGACTGTTGAGTTAAAGTTGAGTTAAAAAAGTGGTTGAGTTAAAAATGAAAAAAAAAATTGGATTGAACTTGTATCCAATCATGCTTTTAGTTACTTTCGTGTGCACATGTCTCGTTTTATATTTTTTTTATAATCAATTCTTTACGGCAAGTAAATAATTGTTCTTAAGAAGTAATGTAGTTGGTTAAGACCCAACAGTTAACTCCATAGCGGAACCAATCTTCTATATACAACAAATAAACCTACCATACTAATAAAATTATATTAATGTTATTTAAGTAATATAGATTTACTTATTGTATATAGAAGGTTGCCTCCACTATGGAGCCAACTGTTGGCTTCATAGCAAAACCGGAAAACTAGATATTCACTTTGTTAATCGAGATAGAGTGATTAATGGAGAGCGGTCAATGGAGAGAGAGAGAGTGTGAGAATTGGATGAAGTTAATTATAGTGGACCAACTGCGGTTACATCTTTTTTGTTCTTGGAACGATAAATACTAATAAATCAAAATGCACAAATGTACGAATACAAAGCAGTCAACGATTGAAAACGTGGAGGACAGGTCAGAAGACCGCCTAGATCCGCCTCTAGCAAAGTGTTGACGGGCGTTTCCGGTCAACGGTTAAAAAGATAAATAATAGAAAAGGAAATGATGTAGAGACAAGAAAATACGGTTTAATCGCAGTTTTATTGTCAGATCGCTAGGTCGGCCTCTCGTACGAGGTCGGCACTTGCAATATCCTTACAAATAGTTACAGAGTAATTACGCGAGTTTTAGAGAGAGAAAGTAGAGAGAGATAGCTATTACAGTTGAGGTTCAACAACCCAAAATAAATGAGAAGGGTTGCCATTTATAGTAGCCTTTAATATGGCACTGTTCAGATACTGTTCATCAGTCTTGTCGTACAGTATTCCAGCGGGACAGTCCGGCGCTTCTCTGACAGCATTAAATGCGATTTGAGGTTTTCCTCATCATTAGGTGGCAGGCATTTAATGCTGACAGGCTTTATGTCTTAGCTAAGAGGAGTAGGTCTGCAGGCTATGCTGTCCCATCCGTTTAGACAATGATTGCCCTCCAAGTGACATTATTATACCATTATTGAGACCGGCATCCTCCGTCGTAGAGACCCGCTCTGGGACCCCACGTCGGCACCTCGGTATCTTGCTTTCATCTGTTCCCCTGGTCCTGGGGAATCTTTCTTTCAGTCCGTCATTTCTCAGCCCGGCACCCGTGGCGTCGTAATTGGAAATACCGAACTGACGAATGGTCTTACGGCGATGCCAGGGTCAAATTGTTTCCCGGTCCAGCTCGGCACTTTATGGGCGGACCGGGTCTCTGATTCGGCTCTCGGAATTGCGCGGTCCGGTTCAGTCTCATGGGTGAACTCGGATGTCAACATACAGGCCCCCGGGCTCGGAGAGGGTGCACTTCGGCGTCCTCTGTGAGGCCGTCATCCTTAGAATACATCCGGGGTCTGTACATGACTTGAGCAAATCACAACCACAATTTGCTCGTTATCTTCCGATCCGAATTGACGTCCCATTTAATGCGTTGTGACCGTTGTGCTTCCTGTCGGTTACGAAAAGGTGTGCCGGTTCAGAACCTTTACACGTGTCGTTCATTAATTGGTTCCCCCCAAACGTCGTGTCGTCTCAGTGAAGCGGTGACTTTTGGGGCGCGTGACTTCCACGCGGCCGTGTACGGACCGTTGGATCGTTTCGCTCCCAACCGTCGGATTATGCCATTAATTTCGAATTTCAAACGTTTTGCAACGTGGAACGCTGCGATTGGCCCTCGGTTTGTATATATATTTCCATCGTCTTCCTTGGGAAGCTTTTACGAGCTTTCGAGATTTTCGAGCAATCAGATCTTCTTAGCACTCTGACTTCCGAGCAGACTTACAGAGCGATTTTCGAGATCCTTGCAGCTTTCCGGCGACTTTCACATCGGTAATTCCGTTTATCCGAAACCTTTTCTTTCATCTTCTTTTGATTATGTCGAGTTTGTCCGACTGTGCTGCGAACCTCCCCGCCGGAGATGGCGGTTTCACGGCGGAGGAGACCGGGGAGTTGGTCGTTTATTCCCCGCCGACGACCGGGGCGATGCAACCGCTCAGAGTGACCCCGATTTCCGCCGTCCGCGTGACGTCGGCGGCGGCGGCAACAGACGCGTGTCGTGGGGAGCCCTCGGATTTCCCCACGATCGAGATCATCGACCTCGGGTCGGGCCAGTCCGACGCCGAGGAGGGCGAGAAGAAGTCCGACCCCGCCTCTCTCGCCGAATCGGATGTAGACGCCGAGCTGGTGGAAGAGACGCTCCGAGGCAACACCTACGGACGAGAACGTGTTCCCATGGCGCGCGAGGATGTCGAAACTGACGCCGCCGTAGAAGCCGCCACCACGGCTCCTCTGGGGTGTTGGTGCCGCCCTCCGCGGGTGTGGCCTTCTACCGCCTCGGCTACCGCATGGACGACCCCCTCGGTGCTGACGGATCTTGATTTGGCCAAACTGAGGGGCAGGGCCAGCTTTGGCGCCGGGGTGAGAATTTTCGCCCCTTATGCAGGCGAGCGAATACACTGTCCGCCACCGGGTTGTGTCGGCGTTTATCGGTCGAGCATCTTGCTCGGCCTCCGATTTCCGCTGCCCGGGGCTTTGAGCGACATACTAAGTGGGATTGGCATCGGTATTAGCCAGCTCGTCCCAACAGTCTTTGCCCGGCTGGTCGGCCTCATAGTCCTCTTCCGCCAGCAGGGCTGGGCTGATCCCACTTGCGACGAGGTGAAGGCCCTCTTCGATTTCAAGAAATCCGGAGAGTCCGGCAATTACTACAGCTCGGTAACTCCCGGTGTAGAAAAGTCCTTGATCAACAAGATCCCGGAGTCGCTGCACGGCTACATGCCGGAGTGGTTTTGGGTCGGCGGCGAATGGAGGACGCCCAACACAACTCGGCACCCGTCGACCGATTTCATATCTGGCCCTTGTGAGTTATTTTACTTCCGTTCATTTCCGCTCTTCTAATTAACTGTCCTTGTTTGCTAACAGGTCGGTGTTTACATTTCAGTCCACAACCCCCATATTGAGCCAAGCGACGAGCTGGTCGCAAAGGTCGAAACCCTGCTCGGACTTCCTGCGGACAAGCGTAATTACCGAAGTCTTGTCGCGGAAGAGAACTTAATCGAGCATAATCTCTGTCCCGAGTACAACAGCAAACACTTCGAGCCCGGTACTTATACTTAACTTTTTTATTTCTGCGCATGAGTACCTTCACGTTTATTCTCACCCTTGCATTTTGTCATCGTTCGACAGTGTACTATCCCCTCCACCGTGAGTGCGGGTTTGGTTCGGTGAAAGAAGCGAACAAGTACGCGCGCGCGCATCCAAGCTCCTTAAAAAATCGAAAGATGGCCAGCCGCATGGACTTCCTGACAAGGCAGTCGAAGAAGAGAACCTCGGCATCAAGTTCGGCGGGGACCTCAGACCCTGCCCCGCCGAAACCGGCCCCCGAAGCCGCGACTTCCCGGGAGGCTGCTGTGGCTGCCAGCTCGGCCCCAACTGTTCCCGCACCCGTTCCTGCAGGCGGGAGGAGGGGCCGGTCCGGTGCCTCTGAGACCGGCACCGGCCATGGCCGAGGTGCGGCCAATCAGGGCGGGCCCGCTCGTCAGAGGAAGCGCCGGATCCTTGCAGAGGAGCCGGAGGAGCCGGAGGAGCCCGCGGAGGGTGATGCCGGGGTGGCGGGTAGCTTCCCGCCGTCCCCGAAGAAGAAGAAAGTCTCGGAGGTCCCGGGAGCCGCCACCGCGGATGAGAGGTCGGCCTTTGTCCACCAGGACGGCTCCTCGTCCTATATACCGGTGGATCCGAGCCTCAAGGCCAGTCTCTCTAAAAGCCTTGAGCGGTTCCCGGACCAGTGGTTCATTGACTCCACGGCGGCAGTCCCGCTCGACTTGCCTAACCCTTACCATCTGCCAGGGGAGGTGATGTCCGCGGCGCAGGCCGTGATGGCTTCCTGGACGCCAACTGCCGAGACGGCCGTGACCATGCTTTCGCCGACGCAACTTATCCACCATTCGGTGGCGTCCATGGGTCGGACCATGGTCGAGTTGGTCCACGCCGCCGTGGCCATGCAGAAGGAAGTCGTCGCCCGAGATAAGGCCGAGGAGGACCTGGCCACCGCCAAGGGTCGGATCAGCGAGCTGAAGGATGAGGTCAAGAAGGTCTCGTCTCTGGAGAACGAGCTGGTCCTCCAGCGCGGCGCCGCCTCCGTGGCGGAAAGGGCGGCTTCCA